TCCTGATTATGATCTTGAGATGTCCCCCTTGTAAATTATGTAAATGAGACATCCCCATATTTTACATGTGTGAGTCATTATCTACCCCTCTTTTTTCTCTATTCTTTGTGATTTTTTCCCCAGCTAATTGTTTGTTAAAGAGCAGATAGAATCGGGGACTGAGGCCGGTCACAGGGACGGGTCATGCGGGGAGAATGTCATCGGGCTTTTACGCTTGATGCTGGATTTCTGGGAAGGTTTGATCTGACAGAGGAACGAGCGGTTCTGTATTTGTTCGCATTGTGAAGCGTAAACAGCCAACAACAATCCCACAAGAGCCGTGCAAACCCAGCGTCAAATGGCATAAAGTGAGACAAAGGCCAAAGTTTAAGAGCAAAGGCTCATTCTTCGTCCTCCTCCTCCTCTGTGAGACAAATCACAGCAAAGTCAACACGTGTGCAGCTCAGAAAATACAAATAGCTCACTTTTTTTCCTTTTTTTTTTTGCAGAAACGTGTTAGCAAATGAAAGCAAATTAAGTGATTTTATTTTAATATATCATACTCAAATGAAAATTGTTGTGGCTTGAGCTGGACGGCATAAACTGGATGAACACCATGGCCATCCTCACTGATGGGTTCTGCCTTATACCCACTGAAAGACACCCCCTTTTTAACCCTCTGCTGTTTCTCTTTTGTAAATTCACCGACTCCCACCAGAGTTTATCCCTGTAATGCCAAACGTATCATATTTGATACATAAGGTTTGTGAAACGTTTTGCTTCTGACACTTTTTGAATAATTTAATGGTAAAAACTTTGCTCAAAATCCTATTGTACACAATCAGATATACCTGATAACAGGGGGCAGAAGACTACACAAAAAAATAATCTCGATTTATCGCATAGTAATAAATTATTCATATAAAAAATGTATTTCTGTTTTTTTGTTTTTTTACATATTTTGTTAAAAGGCCAAGTAAAGACTTCAAACCAAAAAAAAAGTAATTTTCTGTTTTGTTTTATTCTTGGAACCACGCTTTAAAGGGTTAAGATCAGATGGCCCCTCAGACTCAGTGTGGAGAAGTTACAACTGCAGTCCAGAAGAAAAACTACAAGTCCTCCATCAGGTTTTAAGCTCCGACTGACCAAAAGCTGTTCCCAGTAAAGAAAGGAACACCAGTACTTACTCTGGTGTTGATTTTTTTTTGTAATCTAATGTCCTAAACCTGTTTTTTTCATGGCAAAGGTGGAAATAAAGGAAATGCTTTTGGGGGTCGTTGCTGTATTTCCGGTGTCTCATTGATAATTCTCCTCTTCTCTGCACTTCATAACCTGTTTCCTATTGCTTGATCCTTTTCCTCTGTTGGTTTTGGAGCAGAGTGATGATTGCTGATTCCTGTTACATGTCCCGAGTGGTGTTACAATCACATCCATCCCAAAAGAGCTATGGAATCTCAGCTGCACAGCACACAGGTGGGTTTTTTTCTTTTCGAAATCTGTTCACATCTGCAGTTGATTGCTTCAGTTTATTTTAAATTTCTTCCACAAAGCACACCTGTAATCATTCACTAAATTCATTCAAAGTTGCTTTTTGGGGATTTTCTTTCACCTTTAGACCCACCTGGACATGATTTACATGGTTCTTCTCAGTAATAACTGGGAGGTCATTATTTCTGAATATCTGCTGTTGATCTGTCATCTTGTCATTTATTTTTTACCTAATTATGTTGTTGTGAAAGCTATGGTCATGATAAAAATGTCAAGACAAAGGGAAAAAAAAGAGAAGCATATTGGACCTGTGACAGCTCATTACTCTACTTACTTTGCCAGCAACATCAGTAAATGTTAACGGCCACATTAATCAATATTTCCAAATAACCAGTAGGTAGATTCATTATCTTCTGGTGAGGGAGGTTGCATGTATTGATGAGCCCAAAGTTAATTATCACACTGTAGTTCAGGCCAGCTTTACAGAGCTGCTTAGTGTCCTTCAGCCAGTTTTTCCCACCGGTGGTGCTTTCACTCTTGAGATCCCTTCTGATTGTTCACATAAACCCACTTTCCATTAAGAGCTGCCGTCTCCTTGAACTAAACAAAGCTCTGACCTTTTTCTCTGTGATGCCTGCCCTGCACAAATCATACTGAACTTAACCTTTTTTTAGCCATTGTCCAAAGCAGAGTAACGAGTAATGTTCTTAAGCTATCGAAAGGTTTCAAAATAGATAAACTGCACATCATTTTTACAGTTTTTTTCACATTATAGCTTCAAAGAGTACCAGAGCTATGTCCTTTAACTGTCCAGTCTTATTTGGCCCCATGTTTTCTTGTAAAAATAGTTTTTAAACAGTATCTCTTGTTTCTTTTTTGTGGAAATGTGAAAAACTAATGTAGTTTCTAGTTGATGAGGCAGCTAAGAATCATCAGAAAACAAGAACGCAAATATATATTGTTTTTTTTTTTTAATATACAAACAAAAAAGCAGTAACATTTGAGTCATTCTGCACATAAATGCAGCCTTTCTGCTGAATTTGTGCTCAGATTAGTGGCCTGCCACCAAGTGGCCAAAAACTTTACCTTGTAAAAAGAGAACTAATGAATTAGATGTTGAATTCAATTCTGATGATTCAATACATCTTTGCACATCAGACAGTTATGAGCTGAAAATGTGCTGGATTTTATGAATGCTTTTACTAACACATGAATAAAGAGTTAATTCACCAAAGCCAAGAGATCCTTACAGGTCAAAACATCCATCCATTGTTCATACAGCTTATTGTGGTATATATGTGGGGCCTGGAGCTTTTCCCAGCTCTCATTGGCTGAGAGCCGAACAGAGCCTGTCCATCAGAGGTCACCACTTTTAATGTTTTTTTATTTTAGCTATTTTGCACTAGCAGCTCTTTGTGCAGATATATCTAGTTCAGTTTTATTTTATTTTATCATTTATTAGATTTTTACCACTCATTTTGTTATATTTAGCATTTAATTTTTAACAATATGATTTTGCCTTTGGGGACAAAAGCAGGACTCAGTGAAAAGCGTTTTCACATTGGTCCCAGTTTGTGAAAAAGGAGGATGTTTGTAGCCTTTCAGAGTCCTTAAAAGTGATCTGGTTTGAAGTTTTCCCCCTCCTGTGTTGCTGATGTTTTTCATTATTTCTACCTGATCATCTCACCTGTCCAGAGCGTGCCCGCTTCCCCGATTCCATCGCTCCTTATTGTAAGTGAGAATAACGGCTACGTTGCATTGAACACTTATTTCCAGATTACTCTCTCAGAGATGGTTCCACAAGGACACATTTCCAGCTACGGCTGTTGTTGCCAGAAGGCCGGTCAGTAAGAATTGGTCGGATGAAAAAGGAAAAGCAGAAAAGCACAAAGGACAGACCCCAGATAGATTCTCATATATCCCAAAACCTTTTTCATTTATAATTAAATAGATTAGGATGATAGAATACAGGATAAAAAACATCATACAGATAAAATTAACATGAAATATTCATGTTTTCATTGACAGTTATATAAGCTTTTAAAGCCTTTTAGTGTCAAAGTAAGCTAAGTTAAGATGTCACAAACTCTCATGTTCACATGACAAACTAAAAACATGATCCTTTATTCATTATTTAGCCGTGAAGCACGTCTGAACATTATGTGTCACAGAAGTGTTTGCTCTTATCTGCTCAGTGCGTAAAGTCCTGTTTTTCACAGCATAATCCATTTTATACACACCAGCAGCATGTCACCACAGGATTTCACAGCGACAGAAGTCATATGACACACAACAGCTGACCGGACTGAGAGGGTCTCAGTGGACAGACTTTGGGGTTCAGGATCCTGTGTTTGAAATAAAAAGGCCAACGGCTACCAAAGAGGACCAACAATTACTACTTAGATGTGCATTCCTTTAGCACTTTATCTTTCACACAAACTCTATTTTTTTTTATTTCAAATCAGATTAAACTGTGTAAATTTTTTGCTATCTCCATCTTCTGTGTGCATACCTCTATACACTACTTGCTGGTTTGCTTTCAGAGATTTAGAATCAAACCCATTTTTTATTCGAATTTCTATGTAAGAGGACATAAGCATTTGTTTTGATGTCATGGGTTTACATTGAACGGATCACTTTTGTGGCAGATGTATGAAAAAGGAGACACTGTGACCAAAGCTCATTAAGTGGGGGGGGGGGGGG